TCCACAGTCCCCCGCCTCCCCCTCGCTAAGGCCCCCGCCGGCCTCCTCCTTCTCCACCATGGCGCCGGGTCTCGCTGCCTCTGCAGAGATACGGCTCACACCAACCGCCCGCCAGCCCTGCGCGCGTCCAACCGCCGCCGCTCGCGCGCCTGGGTTGAGTCTGCGCCTGCGCCGCCGGCCGCGCCTGCGCAGTCCCTTCTCCTTGGAACCCGGGACTCGTGGACCTCGAGCGCCTCAAAGGCGGGTCGGCGAGTTCCAGTCACGTGACGGAGGCGCCACCCAGCTCTGGACGAATACCTGGCGCAGGTCTGGACCCCACAGGATCCCTGCGTGGTCCCTGATGAGGCTATTAAATTCTGCAAATACATGCGGAGCGGCTACTGAGATCCCAGCTTCGGGGTGGGGGTGAAATAGGGTGGGAAGTAAAATAGGCAAAGCCCTGTCGTCGTGAGGCTTACTTTGTTTTCTTTTTTTAAAGAATTATTTTATTTAACTGTATTCATTTATCTTAATTTGGCCAGAAAGAGAGAGAGAGAACGTGAGAAAGCAAGCCGTCAGTTCTGGTTCTGGAACTCCAGTCGGCCATGTGGGAGTCCAGCGCCCTTAACTATCACACCACCTGCCGCCCCCGTGAGGCTTACTTTCTATTGAGGAAATCCCAAAGAAAATAAATATAAATCAGGTTATAATAAATGGTTCGGAGAAGTGCAAAACATGATATAGGGGTGGCTATGTGTGTTAATGTGGAGGTGTGTCCAGAGCTAGTCAAAGCCATTGCGGGCTTTGTGGATGTTAGATTCAATCAATTCAATGGGATGGAGCACCTGCCACCGGTGCCGAAACATGTATCAGTGTACTTAACAAGGTCCCTGTCCACGAGGAGCTGACGTTCTGATGAGGGAGATAATAAACAAAAAATAAGATGTCGGGGTGGCAGTAGTTAAGTTGTTGCACTCCCACATGCTGGACTTGGTTGGAGTGCTTCAGACTCCAGCCAGGTGCCAGTGCCTGTGTGCCCAAAATCCCAGAGGAGAACGGAGAAGGGATTATGGCCTGACGATATCCTTTAAGGAGTGAGTTCTCACTTTCTCTCTCTGTCACTCCTTCTCCTCCATTCTGCTCTCAGGATCTTGGGCACGCACGCACATGCACCTGGCGTGAGTTTAAGCTGCCAGATCTGGGGTCGACTACATGGGAGTCCAGCGACATAGCCATTACCCTAACTGCTGGACCTTCTGTCTCTCTTTTTCTGGCGAGCGCACACATCCTATAGCCAAAAAAACTCTTAAAAACAAAAAGATACATCGCCAAGTAAAGGATAGAAAAATCAAAATATTGATCCATCCATAAAGGCTTATCAAAGAAGGTGCTGTGGAACACAGATTTGAAGGCACTAAGGGAACAAGCCATGTAAATAACTAGAAGATGGAGCACTTCCAGGCAGGGAAGAACTGCAGGTACAAAGGCCCCGAGACTGGAATGTGCTGGCATGATTAAGGAACGGTGGAGAGAAAAAGGTGGTTGGAGTACAATGAGAGAGTACGTAAGTGTAAAAAACATAATCACAAGGCCCAGCAGGTGGCATGGTGGATAAGGTGCTGAAATTCCCATGTGGCTGACCACGGTTCCTTCGAGTCCTGAACTTGGTGGCTTGCTTTCTCCCTCTCCTCTCTCTGTCTCTCTTCCTGTGGCAAAACTCCTGTGAAAAAAATAATAAATAAATAAGATAATCCTTTAAAAAAAAAAAAAAAACATGATCACAGCAGGTGGGGGCCAGCAAGTGGCATGGTGGTTAAGGCACCGGACTCCCACATGGCTGACCACAGCTCAAGTGCTGGACCCAGTAGCTTGAAAATCATGCTAGGCACATGCATATATGTGTGTGCGTCCAAGACCCAGAGAGTAAAATGAAGCATGACCATCCTCCCAGGGTGTGATTTCTCACTTTCCCTCTTTCTGGAGAGTGCACATACCCTATGGCCAAAATGAAAAAAAAAAAAAATCACAGATGAAATAAGTGGGGAATCATATAGGGTCTTGTAGGCTAATAATATCTGACATGTGTATCTTTAGGCAAGGTTCCCTTATTCATTCAAGAGATATTGAGGGGCCACAGATGTCATGGTGGTTAACGGTACTGGATCGACTGTGGTTTGAGTCCTGAACCTGGCAGCTTAAAATTCAACCTGAGTATATGTGCATGTGCATCCAAAATCCCAGGAGGAGGATGAAAAAGAAGGGATTGCAGCGAGGCTAACCCTTGGAGGGGGAAGGATTTCTCACTTTCCTTGTCTCTCTGGTGAGCACACACACACCCTATAAAAAAAAAAAGAAGAAGAAAGAAAAAACAATTGGTAATAACAGTATTATTCACAATACACAATAAACAAAAGATAGAAAACATCCAAGTGTTCACCAACTAGTGACTAGAAATAAACAATGTATGGTCTGTCCATACAAAAAAAAAATTGCTTTTAAAAAAAAATAATTATTTAACTTTTTAAAAAATTTATTTATAGGGGGAGAGAGAGAGAGAGAAAGTGAGAAAGCAAACCACCGGGGTCAAGACTTGAACTGTAGTCGGCCACTTGGGGGTACAGTAACTTTAACCTGCTGGCCCCGAGAATATTGCTTTTTTATGACAAAAAGAAATGAAGTTGGGGCCAGCAGGTGGCTACAGTGCTGGATTCCCACATGGCTGACCACAGTTAGAGCCCTGGACCCAGTGACTTGAAAATCACAATAGGCATGTGTACGTGTGTATCCAAAATCACAAGAGAATGGAGGAGAAGGGATGCAATGCAGTCTGACCTCCCCCCTGGGGGGTGACTTATCACTTTATTTCTTTCTCTCTGCAGCAGCACACATGCCCTGTGGCAAAAAACCTGGGAAATGAAAAGAAAGAAAAGAAATGAAGTTTTGGGAGCTGGACATGGAGCAGTGGTAAAACAAGAAGCTCTGTGAGGCAGACCCACATGGAAAAATTGCTGGTTCGAGTCTGGAGACTTCTCTGAGTACACTGGGCACAGATGTGCCCATCATCTGTGCTGGCTGGAGCTGTTGATTGATTGTGGCATCAAGATCCTCTTGGGGGTGCGAGCAGGTGGTGTGGTAGTTAAGGGCACTGGACTCACACATGGCTGTCTGCGGTTCAAGTTCCAGACCTGGCAGCTTACTTTCTCACTTTTCCTCTCTCTCTCACTCTCTCTTTCTCTCTGGTCAAATTTAAAAAAATGATAATAAATGAAATTAAATAAGTAAATAATTCTTTATAAAAAAAAAAGAAAAGACCTTATTGAGGGTGCTGTCTGTCTCTCTTCTCCCTGCATCTCTCTCATAGAATGAACAACAACAAGGGAACGGAGTTTGGACACACACTACAACAAGCATGAACCTGGAATACGTTATGCTGAGCTGAGCAGAATGAAGAAGGTACAAAAGGACTCTCACATCATTGACTGCGGTTTGAGTCCCAGAGCTGACAACTTGCTTTCTCACTTTATCTTTCTTTCTCTCCCATGAGTGCACCTGTCCTATAGCAAATTTTAAAATCATAGAAATATAGGGCCAACAGGTGACATAGTGGTTGCGGCACTAGACTCCCACATGGCAGACCACAGTTCAAGTCCTAGACCCAGCAACTTAAAACTTGGACACACACACGTGTGTGTGTGTGTGTGTGTGTGTGTGTGCGCGCGAACATGCCCAAAACCCAAAGAGAATGGGGGAGAAGTGATTGCAGAGTGGTCATTCCGTCTGGGGGATGATTTTTCACTTTCTGTCTGTCTCTCTGGTAAGCACACGTGTCCTAGAGCAAAAATCTCTCAAAATAACTAAATAATAGGGGCCAGCAGGTAGGATGGTAGTTAAGGGCACTGGACTCCCACATGGCTGATACAATTCAAGTTCCGGATCTGGCAGCATCCTTTCTCACTCTCTCTCTCTCTCTCTCACTCTGTTCCTCTCTGCTCAAATTTAAATACATAAGTAAATAAAGATAAATAAAATAATTATTAAACTTAATTAAAATTAATCATTCTTTTAAAAATAACACAAAAGAACAAGTATTATACAATTCCCTCTATAGGAGACATCCAGAATAGCTAAATCCTTGGGACCAGCAGTTGGCGGAATGGCTACGTCGCTGGACTCTTCCCATGTAGTTGACTGTGGTTTGAGTTTGGACCCAGTGGCACACAGGCTCATGCTGGGCATGTGTGCATGCGTGACCAAGATCCTGAGAAGATAATAGAGGAGAAGGGGTTGTGGTGTGGCCATCTCCCATGGGGCATGATTTCTCACTTTCTGTCTCTGTATCTCTCTCGTTCTCTCTCTCTCTGTCTTTCTGGTGAGCGCACGCGCCCTATAGTAAAAACCTCTCAAAACAAAAACAAAACAGAATTAAACCCAGGGCAAGCAGGTGGCATGGTGGTTAAGGCACTGGACACTCCCAAATGGCCACCTACGGTTCAAAGTTCAAGTCTCAGACCTGGTGGCTTTCTTTCTCATTTCCCTTCTCTCTTTGTGTCTGTCTCTCTGGTCAAATGAAAATGATTGAATAAATAAACAAAATTAAACAATTCTTTTTTTCTCAGAGAGGTTTTTGCTATGCACTCACCAGAAAGACAGAGAGACAGAAAGCGAGAAATCACCGCCCAGGGGAAATGGCCACACCGCAATCCCTTCTCCTCCATTCTCTTGGAGTCTTGGGCATGCATGCATAGACGCCCGGTGTGAGTTTTAAGTCACCGGGTCCAGACTTGAACCGTGGTCAACTACATGGGAGTCCAGTGATATAGCCATTACGCCAACTGCTGGTCCTGAATTAAATCTTTCTTTTTTTTTGTGGGGGGGGGAGAGTTTTTTGTTGTTGTTGTTTGTTTGTTTGTTTGTTTTTGCCATAGGGTGCGTGCGCTTGCCAGAGAGACAGAGAGACAGAGATAAATCACCCCCCCCCCCGGGAGGATAGCAACATCGCAATCCCTTCTCCTCTAGTCTCCTTTTGGGTTCTTGGGCACACACACACATGTGCCCAGCCTGAGTTTAAGCCACCAGGTCTGGGACGGGAACTGCGGTTGACTACATGAGAGTCCAGCAACATAGCCATTACGCTATCTGCTGGTCCCTGAATTAAATAATTCT